GTTTTCATCGAACTTTCCCGTAGAGTAAGGATCTGGCCAAAACTATTGGGTTGGCACATAAGTACTTTCGTTTTTTTTCAACCGGAAATTTCGTTCCAAAGATGAAATGTTTTGCTAGCAAGCTTGATATCATCTGATAGGAAACTTCACGTAGTTTTAGAATATCAAAACGGCTTCGGTTGAGGGAATAATTTTTGTGGATTTTTTAGTCGTTGAAGTTGAAAGCGAAGTCGGCGAAAATTAGCACCTTCGACAACTGCCTCTATTCGAAGTGCTAAAATCGCTTAAGCTGCTCCATACATTTGGAAAAGGTCGAGCTAGAAGTTCCAGCAAGGGAATCTCACTAGGACGCTTTGGAACGAATTTCAAGAATTTTGAAGTTACCAACCTTCACCTCGCCGATATTGGGCAGCTCACGTCTGTTCCACCTGAAATTTTATGCTAATATTTGAATGTTTCGCTGATATGTTTTGCATGTTCTGATAGCAAATTTCGTGCTCTATAACACTGCTATAGAAATCTGTTCTCCAGAGGTGTTTGCTTTCTGTTAAGTTCAGGTTATCATTACGGAACGCGAAGTCGTTGAGAACTAGCGTTCCCGTTCTCCACGAATTTTATGCTAACATTTGAATGTTTCGCTAATGTGTTCTATATGTTCTATAGCCAATTCGTGTTTATAACAACTGTCGTTGACAGTCAATTTTGAAAATGTTTGATGAACCTTGTTTTTCAGGTGGATAACATGAATGTTCAGTCGAATAGGCATCAGCACTTCAACATTCTCTCCTTTCGCATTGCCAGCAGAGTATCATACATTCCTGACAGCGTTGAACCAATTTGGTTGCTTTGAGAGGAGAGAGCATCTTCTCGGCGTACACTTCGTCCGAAATTTCCCGAGCACATTCAGTCAGCACGTCTGAATTACTTCATGTTGGAATGCAATAGGCGGGATGTCTGAAGTGCTGATGCTTATCGACCTGACATTCCATATTATCCACCTGAAAACAAGGTTTATCAAATGGATTTTCAAAATACTGCAACGCAGTGTTATAGAGCACGAAATTGGCTATCAGAACATATAGAACACATTAGCGAAACATTCAAATGTTAGCATAAAATTCGTGGAGAACGGGAACGCTAGTTCTCAACGACTTCGCGTTCCGTAATGATAACCTGAACTTAACAGAAAGCAAACACCTCTGGAGAACAGATTTCTATAGCAGTGTTATAGAGCACGAAATTTGCTATCAGAACATGCAAAACATATCAGCGAAACATTCAAATATTAGCATAAAATTTCAGGTGGAACAGACGTGAGCTGCCCAATATCGGCGAGGTGAAGGTTGGTAACTTCAAAATTCTTGAAATTCGTTCCAAAGCGTCCTAGTGAGATTCCCTTGCTGGAACTTCTAGCTCGACCTTTTCCAAATGTATGGAGCAGCTTAAGCGATTTTAGCACTTCGACTATACGTAAATAGAGGCAGTTGTCGAAGGTGCTAATTTTCGCCGACTTCGCTTTCAACTTCAACGACTAAAAAATCCACAAAAATTATTCCCTCAACCGAAGCCGTTTTGATATTCTAAAACTACGTGAAGTTTCCTATCAGATGATATCAAGCTTGCTAGCAAAACATTTCATCTTTGGAACGAAATTTCCGGTTGAAAAAAAACGAAAGTACTTATGTGCCAACCCAATATGTCACCAGGGTTGCGGTCCGCTGATCACGGGCACCATAGCCGTTTATAGCGAAAGACCGTGGTTCTCGTCCCACGGGCATCAGCGCCGCAGATATCAGTTTATAGCAGGGGCTCATAACAAGCGTTTTGTCACTAACGCCAAATCGGTATGGCGTTCGTGTTGACGGATTCAAGTACCTCTGGGACGGACCAATTTTTCAACAAAGGCGCTCCAAAGCGTTTTAGCACCGGCGTTTCCATCGCAGTTTCGAGCAGAAGGACAAGATATGTGTCCCATATTCAGGGGATCAAATTATTCCTAAGAAACACAGTATCCTAGCTAGGATTCCGTCTCAAACCCTGGGGAGATATTTCTACCAAATCTGGTCGAAATTCAGGAGATTGAGGCAGTATTGGTAACCAGTGCATGATAGTTTACGGGTGCAAATTATAGTAGGCCAGAAAACGCTCAACAAGGAATACGCCATGAACTCGAGTCTTGAGCAGAAATAGGAATGTGTGGGTCCCCTATCATCGTTGACATCCATTACATCCATTATCATACGCAGCCCTTGAGTCGTTTTAGGAGAGCACCACTAGAATAAGCTTGGCGACAAGTGTATGCCATTCAATCTTATCCTAGTCCTTTTGAGAGGAGCTTCCAATCTTTCAAATTTCTATGTTCGATTTACACGCTTTGTAATCCAGTACTACTAAGGGTAGCAGTTAAGATAGGCAGAGCACGAAGAACATATTTGAACTTGACAAAGCGCAGAAAGTCGACCTTGAACTAAGTTTGATTCTTCTTACCAATTTTATGGTTATGATCTCCAGCCTCTTGTGAAGTATACGTTCCGCTATCTTAATCAATACAAGCAATCACATGCTCGAAAAATGCGCCTAATTCCTATTTTTCTGATATCCTCAGACCGAATGGCTGGGAAAGCGGTCGAGTCAGTTGACTTCAGTCATGATAGATTCTGGCTTTCCACTCGATCAAAGGAAGCTCCTAGTTGGCTCAGCCCTCGAGCCTCCCAGCATTTCCATGGAACCTTTCTCATACCGACACTTTTGAACGTTGTATTCCAGAATACCTCCCTTCATGAAACTCAGTCATAGATTTGCGGTGAGCATTTCTCGAAACTGCTTCAGACCTGTGCTATATAGCAGCGGACTATTCAAAGAGTTGTGCAGTGCCCAGAACCAGTCGGAGCTACAGACCTTACATCTGGGACGGAGTAGGCGTAGCATTTCCTTGGACATGGAATAGGATGGGTTGCTCCTGGACTATTTCATTTCGAGGCGAAAGTCATGTTTTTTGTTAGGACAGAAGACATGACCGCAGTTTTATCAAGATGAAAATACCTCAAAAGCACGACCACCATCACCTTTAGTTGAAGTGCCACCCATGCCTCACCCCAGGAAATTCGAGTGTACTTGCCTTATTCCTGTCACCTAACACGTCTGTAGACCCTCCATGTAAAAAACTGTAGAACATCAAACTGTTGTGAAGCTGCGAAATGGTGGTTTAGACCACGTTCATGGCGAAATTCAAAGAGCTTCACAAGACGGTCTGTTCAAGCTTTACCGATCCCCGTTGTGCCGACCAAGCGGACTGTTCAAAACTACCGTAGCTGAACCAAGCCGACCCGCGCTTTGAAAGGTGATTCAACTGAACAAGCGCTAGCCCAAAATGTCTCCTGAGTCGAACGTCACACCCCGTTCCCCGTCCCCGCAGCAGCGACGCACTTCAATACCATGCCGTCGAGTCGGAGACATTTTGTGTAATCTACAGACGACATATGATAAAAGGCGGCAGGCGAATTATCTTCCCTCTCCTTCGTGGGAGTCGAGTATTTAACACCCTGTCTACTTTGTTCCGCACTTATTTGAAATCCTGCATTTGATCTGGGGGGCTAACGGTGCTAACGTATTTGGGGGGGACCACGCGGCGAGCGGCGAGTGATGACTCATCAGCTCTTCACTCATAGGCATACTTGAAGCGCGAATCTAGCAGCCAAATTAGAATGAAACAAACAAGATTCACCGGGAACTTGCTGGGAAATCCCACAGAAGCTGAAAACAACAAATATTTGATCTTTTATAGTCAAGAA